TCTTATTAATAAGCTTTGTATGTTTTGTTGGAAGAACCAGATTGAGGGTACAGTACTTTACATTTTCTCTCAAAGTCAAACATTTCCATTCCCAACTAGAAAAATAGTCTGGAGGTCAAACGAAATCAATATTTGGAAAAGAGGAAAGTATCTCTCGAATTAACCAACACTGGAACTCTTTCTTCAAAATGCAGGAATGGCTGTAGCAGAAAACTGTTTATTTCCACATCAAGCAGTTTGTATCTCATGAAATCGTTCATACAGTTAATATTGCACAACCTCTGTTAGTCAGTGTGTTTCTTCAGTGTTTTAACACATAGAAAGTAAATAGTTTGTGTTGCTGATAATTATGAGCTTGTTGGTGATAATAGCAGTTTCCACATTTGCTGCCAGAACATGGTAAAGTCGGGTTAGCATAAGTAAGTAGGTACTAGTACTTTCTGGCAGTGCAGTTCAGTCTGTTTTTGACTGATATTTTTGTCTCTTTCTTTTTATTAGCTCTGCTAAAAGTTTTCACATTAGCAGCTTATATTTTGTTTCATGCGAAGCCCAAAAGCAGTCGACCATTGATGGAGATCAACGAAATCCTCAGAATGAATCTCTGTAAAGGCAACTTCTATTTATACTGCAGGTTTTCCTTTACCTGCGGTCTCAGTGTTTTATTGGCATTAAGTTGTCTCAGATTAAGTTTTTTATACCATGGGGCCTGTCAAAAACACAGTGATTTATTTGGTGCTGTCACATCAAATAAACTTGCAAATGGTACATCTTTGACATTCCTTAAATCAGTTAATCAATAAAAACTAGGTCAAGCTATAAAAGGCACATTTAAGTCACAATAAATAGAGTAGGATGTTGTTCAGAAGTTCAGTCCAAATTTTGAGTCCTTTTAGTAAGGCTTCTATTTACTTTATAAATATATTATGTATTAATTTCAGCTCCAAAATTTCACATATCAAACCAAGCAATTAGATATGAGTGAAAATCAGTATTTGTCACATAAAACTGAGATTTACCAGATTATGCCAGAAAATGTCACACAATGCAAACCTTCCCATATAAAATCAAGTTTAACTCTTGATTAAATCTCAGAACAAACAAACAAACAAACAAAATATTATATGGGAAAGTTCTAAATGTTTATATTTGTCATATTCATTTCCCTCCAGTCAAAGCAACACTAAGAGATCACATCAACAAAGATGAGTTTACTGAATGTGATTTTCCTTCTTTAGGGCTCTGACTTGCATGTATCAGTGCACAGCAGGTGTCTTCAAAAATGTTCTCCACGTCAATAATTTGTCTCCTCCGTCTGCTTGCAGTATGCTTGACGATTTTTGCACAGTTTGCCCTGCCTGTTTAGGCCGTGGAAAGGGAAGTGGATGAGGGGGAAGACGGTCGACGCTGCCCTTTGTGAACGTGTGAGCTCTGCGGGTGCATGCCTATGACTTGCAGTTCTGTTTACATCTTAAATGTTGTATCTTCCCTGAGCTCTGTGTGCAAGCCTCAGCAGGATATGGGAATGTGTAGCTGTGTTGTGGTTGCATCCAGCACAAACGTACCATCAGCTGTAACGTGATGTAAATACTGCAGTGACCATGGATAAAAGCCCTGTTGTACTAGTGCTGTTTGTGTTGGGGTTATTTAGCACAGACTAGCTCTCTGTCGCTGTTTTCTGTACATATGAGTCTTGATGATTTATTTATCCAAAGTATATTGAATAGAAAACTGTCTTTTTTTTTTGTATTTGCTTTGTAATGATCAAAACAGCTCTTTTCATTAGTGTGTGTAAATATAATGCCAAGTTGTTATTTTCAAGCTGCATGAACTCCTGAATCTCTGTGAAAGTTCACAAGCTCTCTGCTTTTCTTCCAGCCTCTGTTGTAAACTTTAGATTTTTGTTTGAAATGAAGAAGTTTGATTGGAGTAAAGGAATGTCGTTTCTGTTTCTAGTTTATGGATCAAAACAAACTTGCAGCAGTAAATTTATTAAAGATGACATGTTAACTTTACATACTTGTCATTTTCTGTGTTACGTTGCTCAATTTTTTTCAATTCTACCGGACTACTGGTGTATTTTATTTGAATTTTAATGTGGTTGATCAACATGGTGCATCATTGTGAAGTCATACAGATTCATAAATTGAAGAGATCATAAATCTTTCTGTAAAAGCTATATTTATGGAGTACAAATTGAATAGTTGTCCCTCAGCTCCTCTTACCATGAACCTCTCAGCTGCTTCCCTGAACAATACTCTCCATGCCCAACCAGTCTTTTTTAAAAAAATATTACACACAGTGGATTAGCTTCAGAAAAGCTTTCCTTCACATGAACCCACACAGATCCACTCCAGAGTGTTGTTTTAAACATGCCAAACCCATAGGGGGCAGTGTAGAGCACAGCTAAAACCTACATCAGCCAATCAGGTCGCTTGAAAACAACCACAACTTCCTGTTAGGGCTTAAAAGAAAGTTTGTGTGTATAGATATATAGGTTGGACTACTTTTAAATAGCATAGTAATATGTAAAGTTAATAAAACAGAAGACAATGTGGTGGATATATTGCTGCATTATTTGTCACAGACTGTTATGCATGGGAGCCCAAATTTCTGTCCTGATTTCACCAACACGCATAAAAATTCATTTGTTTTCTCTAAAATCAGGTTGCGCGTGAAACAGTCTTGTTTAGCTGTTCTGCAACTTTAAGCACATTTTCTTTTTGAAGAAAATTACATCCACATCTTGTGGAATAACACTTGATAAAGTTGAACTAAGCTTCTGCAAAATACTTCAAAGAGGAAGTACATTAGCATATTAAAAATGTGACTGAGTTGCATGACCTTTTCCCAACAAAGTGAGCTGGATTTTCTCACGTTGTTCCTGTGTTCAGAGACCAGACTGCTGAGCTCGGTTCCTTCCTGTTGGCCTCTTCTGTTTGCTGTCCAGACCTTATGCAACAAGGTCCTCTTTTGTTTGAAGCCACCAGAGCAAGAATTTTATCCCACAGAGATGTTTCTGACTTGCAATGGGTTTGCTACAATTCATTTAGGTAAAAGGTCAACAAATGCTGGAAGTCCATAAGAATGGCTCGTAAACAGAGAATGTTATTGATGCTGAAAAGCCTTTTCAACAACCAGATAAAGAGAACAGCAGGTTTTCATGGTTGTTTTTTGACCATGGAATTTCCTCAACATATTTTAGTCAAAATAAATGTTAGATTTAGAGTCACACTTTAAGTTCTGTTCTAACACAAACCCAAATCAAACAGTTTGGTATTTCCCAAGGCCAAACTGCAGTTGACCACATTCTAAACATTCATATAACAAAACATTGTGCTTTTTCTGCACCTTATTGCTTTGTCCTTTGCTAAACTTCACTATTTCACTGTTTGAAATATTTGTGCTTTTGTGCAAATTTCAGCCCCATTGAAATACATTGAAATTCTTCAAAATTCCACAAAATTCTGCTAAAATCTGTTTTTTCACAGCTTACTACTTCTGCCTTCTTTTAACCTAGAAAGTCCATTCAAAGTTTAAACAAGTCACAGGAGTTCAAAATATATTCAAATGTCTCGGCTTTCAGATATTTCTTACGGTTCTCTGCTTCTCTTTCTACCTAAAACTGGATGGCAAAAGTCTTCAGTCTGGTGCTTTAGTTTTAACCTTTGTTTAAGAACAATTTTGTGTACAGAGTTTTCATAATTTTATTTTATGTGTTGTCTCCATTGCTTTCAGAATGTCTTCTAGTTGCAGTGTTCGTTGTAATTTAAAGTTTATACATCTTCGAGTATTTGTTCACGCATTATAATGCCTTTACCACGATGCTACTTGAAAATTGTCTCAAAACAACAATATTATTGTTTATCGCAATATCTCCTGGGATCATTTATGATATCGTAAAAGGGAGAGCATGCAAATCCCAACCCAAGTCAAGGTTGGGATTTGAGCCTCAGACCTTCTCACTTTTACTTCAGAAACTTAGTTATGACGTATTTCCACTCTTACCTGAGTAAATCTTCTAGATATTTGACCCACTGTGAGAAACTTCACTGAATAAAAAAAAAAAAAAACTTTTTCTAAGTAAAACTTCACAGACACATACCTGGACTTTTTGTTAACGTTTCATAAGTTTTAGGGTAAAAGATGTTGATTTGGACAAAATGTTTGTCTAATTTTGTTATTTTTTGATGACATTTTATATGAATAACTTTGATTTTGATATTTAAAAAGCCAACATTTTCACATAACTACATTTTTCTCTGTTTATGTAATTTTTAAGCATTAAATGTTTTGATCACTTACTCTGTACTTGAGAAGCATTTTCACTTTTGTACTCTTACTTGAGTTAATTTCTTGGATACTTTTTACTTTTACTTGAGTAAAAATATGTTGAAGTAGTCCTACTTTGACCTGAGTACAATTTTTGGGAACTCTGACCTCCTCTGCACTGCAAAAACCCAACATTTTTACCAAGTATTTTACTCTAGTTACTTGTGCAAATATCTTAGTCTACTGGAAATAAGACAAAACTAACTTACAAGTAAATTTTCAGCAAGATATAAGAGTTTAAGTCTTTAATATTGATGAAAATGTGCTTGTTCCATTAGCAGATTATTTCACTTGTAACGAGACATTTCCACTTATTACAAGTTAAATAATCAGCCAGAGGAACTTGTATTTTTTTTTTTTTTTGTCAATATTGATAAATTATTTACTTAAAACAAGCTCCCATGTTTTGCCAACAGGTGCCTGTAAGTTGGTTAAATCATTTAAACTTGAATCTAGATAAAAAATATTTGGTAAGATTTTGTGTTTTTGCAACATAATTGTCCAACAGTGCAGCCAAACGTTTGTCCAGTGAAAAACCCTATTGAGACATTAGAGTTTTTCACAGTAAATAGTCGGACCTTTAATATGCTGACCTTTGTCCCCTGAGTGAATCGCCAGGCTCGGCCCTCGCCTGAATGGGGCGGGGCAGCGCGGCGTCTCCCCCCAAAAACGGAGAGTTGTTTTATAACAGCACTGCAGTCAGTGCGGCTCCTGCTTCACCTCCGGGACTCAGCGCCGCACCTCCGCACCAATGGCAGCTCCGAAGAAAGTCTGCATCGTGGGCTCCGGAAACTGGCAAGTGGATGCGTTTATGTGACGGGTTGTCTGTCAGGGGGCGTCAGGTTTCCTGCGGCACGTCACAACTGACACGTTGTTTCTAGTGTCGCTAATTAGCAGCGCTCTGCGATGGGGAAGGTGAATGGAGCCCGTCAGGAACCTCCTGCTGTAAAATGCTTCGCTCGCAGGAACAGCAGCTGCTTTCGGTCACATGCTGGGAAACTGGCTGAGTTTTCAGAAACACTGACCGCGTGTCGGTCGCGACTGGCGGGGTGTTTTTTGCCCTTGAAGTTAGCCATAACAAGTGTTCATTAGCCTAGCTTGTTCTCAACGCCAGTTGTCCATTCATAAATCTTGGACATCAAACTCAACGCGTTGACTTTACTTTTTAAAAAGAAATATAACACAATTTAAATTAAGACAGCAGTTGCTTTGTATGGACTAATAAAATCGGCTCATACCTTAAGTTTCAATTCCAACCCTAATTTATTTCTATTAGATTATTTATTTATTTATTTCTAGGAATGCAGCACACTTTTTTAAAATGTAAAACAATTTTTATGCCGAATTCTATTGTTTATATTCTGATAATTATAAGAATTAAATTACGCTATTAAGCTATTATTAAGCTATTATTAAAAAAAATGTCTAATTTTATAAGAGAACGCCATACATTTGTGCAACAATTTTCAGAACCAAATTATTGCATAATAAAATAGGGGATGTGGTTTTAAATATGGAATATGGTTAGGGTCACTTAAAAAAATAACGTTTTAAAAAATAAAAAAAGTCAAAATTTTCCTGTTTACGTGTACGTTATATTTTGCAGAAAATTTCAGGTCTGAAGAACATTTAGCAGAAAGGTTAGAAGTAGAACTTCCAAGTAAAGTCGCAGGTTTTCCACAATGACCTCAAAATCCAACATGGCTGCCGTGAATACACTTTGTGGTAACTAAAGAGAAGCAAAAAGAAAAGTGTCTTATTCACTGATAATGAATAAATAGATTTAGTTTTAACCCTTTACTCTGAAGTTGAAATGAACAAGTCTTTAGAAAATGTAACTGAAAAATTTCTAAGCGGGTTAAAATTCAGAGAGTGAAATTCAAAGTTTTCTCACTAATTCTGATTTAAAAATCCAAAATGGTTGCCTTGTCTATAAAACTTCAATAACAGTTATTACAAATTACAAAGAAGGAAACAAAACATTGTAATCAATACCGGTGAATGATTAGTGAGATAATGAGGTTTGGTTATGTCATGTTGGAAAAATTAACCCAAATACACCTAAATGTCCAACTCTGACTTCAAAGACCAGTAATGATTAACACATTAATCATTATCCAAAGTTGACCATGTTCATTTGTCTATCTGGAAATTGAAAAGAGCAAAACACACTATTAAGTTTTATTGCTATTCTTTGTCAAGCCGATCTCTTTTAATTTTCAAATTTGAACTTGAAAGAAAGTCAGTATTAAATTGGGTGGCAGTTCGGTTTCCAGTTTCCTCTGGGTACTACCAGTGGATAGTTGCGCCTCAATTTGAGAACAAAAAAAACTAGAACAAGATCAGTTCATCTTTTGATCAGCCTTTTGGTTTGTTCAGGTCAGAGAACAGTGTGAAGTCTAGAGAGAAGCCATAGAGGTTTTGTAAGATACACAATGTAGGTCAGACACTAACCTGTTATTGTTAATCACACAGGGGCTCTGCTATTGCCAAGATTGTGGGTGCCAATGTTGCTCAAAATCCCAAATTTGACAACACAGTAAAAATGTGGGTGTTTGAGGAGACTGTGAATGGGCGCAAGCTGACCGAAATAATTAACACCAGCCATGAAAATGTGAAGTACCTCCCTGGGCACAAGTTGCCAACAAATGTGGTAAGAAACCGTTGCTCTTTAACATCTTGATGTTATCAGAGTACGGAGGGCTAGAAATGCCACAATCACCAAAAAAATGAATGAAGAAGTACTACATAATTATCTACATGTCACAGTCACATATATTTAACCACTTTTAATTAGATGGGCCACTAATGGTTCATTTAATCATTTTAAATTAATCAAATATTAAAGATGAACATGTCAAAAAACAGAACTGTCATCCTCAACAAATATTGAGAAGTAATACACTAAAGTTAAATAACATGGTGACAAAGCCCCATAAACCTTTGGACTGGCCCTTTTTAATCAGCTGTATGCTTGTTTAGATGTTCCGATCTGATCTTAAAACGTCACTTGTCATTAGAGTCAAGAGGCAGACTTTTTAATAAAATTTTCTTGTTTTGCAACAACTTCCTCCCAGCTGGCTGTTCCGGACCTGGTGGAGGCATCCAGCGATGCAGACATTTTGGTGTTTGTGATCCCGCACCAGTTTATCGGCAAAGTGTGCAACACGATGAAGGGAAAGGTTAAAAGCGACGCGCTCGGTATATCCCTCATCAAGGTCTGACTTTGCTCTTTGTGCCTGGATTCTAAAATCAGATATGATTGTTTCATCTGGGAGCTCTGGCTGAGTGATGCAATGCGATCTTTGACCCAGACACCAACTGTTGCACGTTTCACGTCCTGCAGGGCGTAGACGAGGGGCCAGACGGGCTGAAACTCATCTCTGATGTGATCCAGGAGAACCTCGGCATCACAATGAGCGTGCTGATGGGAGCCAACATTGCCAATGAGGTTGCTGATGAGAAGTTCTGTGAAACCACTATTGGTGAGCCTGATGAACTACTGGCAATGAGGCTGCGTTTTCTCAATTTGACCTTCTTAACATTTTGCTTTGTTGCTTCATCTTTCCTCTCTTTGTGTGTCTGTAATAGGATTTACCGCCACCAAACCTCTTTCGGCAGAATTAATACTTGTGGGAATATTGAGTCAGGACTGACAAATTCAGCCTTTCTCTCTGTTTTAAATGGCTTCTCAAAACAACCTGAGCACTTAAAAAAACATTTAGCTACAAGTTTATGTATTAATGTGAACACATGCATGAATGGGAAAGATTAATTACAATGTAAAGTGTCGTTGAGGATCCAGAAAAGAGCTTTAGTTTATTGGTGTCTGGAAAATGAATCTCAAAAACCTACAGAATTTAACATCACAAATTTGCAGGCACTGCTTGTTACCTAGCAAAACCCAAGCTTCAGCACATTTGGTCATGTGCTGTCTGGGCTGTACAATGGCTGCTGGAAAGGAGAAGTGTTGTTTTTGCTGACTTTCCATTTAGAAACCACTTGCTGCTTTCTTGTCAGTTGTGCTGGAGGTTCTACTTCTGCTTCTCGAAGATATACAATCCAAGATTTCCCCTCGAGAACTTATCTATATTTAAATGCAATGAACATGTTTCGTACAACCAGTACACCTGTGCTAACCTGTTCATGGAAGCGTAAGGTGTCAGTTGTTCTTCTTTTAAACTTGCAGGCTGTAAGAATAAAAACCACGGGACTCTCCTGAAGGAGCTCATGCAGACCAGCAACTTCAGAGTCACAGTGGTGGAGGAGTACGATGTGGTGGAAATCTGTGGCGCCCTAAAGGTGAGCTCTCAGAAAAAGCTGAGGTGTCATTGTTTAACATGACGTTCAAACAAGTTCTTCTTATTTTATACTGCTACGTTGGATGGAAGCCATTCACAGCATCCTGCAAAAATAGTCCGAATTTTTACTACATTACAATCTAAAACCTCAGTGTATCTTATTAGGGGCTTACTATAAGAAAATATGAAAAAAGAGTGAATTATTTTAGGAGATGCAAAAGTACAAAATTGAAAATGGTTGCTGTCTGAACCGTCATTTCCTTTGTCATAGTGCGATGTTTTCTTCCAATCAATACATTCATCATGTTTATGCTGAGGGAGTTTTGAAAGTGCATGTTATTGCAAAACCCATTGTTATGGTTATTTCTAACAAAGACAACAATTGTGGGCACATAAGAAGTAGGTCAGTACTTTATTGATTGTTAAACTCTTTGTTTGTTCAGTCTGTGTGGAAAACACACACTCTGCAAAAAGAAACAGAAAAAAAATCTCACCTTTTCTCTCCAAAATTTGCATTTGTATGTAGAGTATAGGTTCACAGAGGCAGGAGAAAATGTCACTTTTTGCAAAATGTCTCCGTTAGTCCTGACAGGGCCAGTGTGTAAATGTTTTAAAATACAGAAACACTATTTTCAGTTTTGAACCTCCCAGAATCTGTTTATTTTATTTTTTATTTTTTAGCAGTCTATTTCAGACTCTGCTGTTAAATGTGACCTTTAGATTTTCATACGAGCTCTGCTTCTGTCTAGCAAATATTTCTTCAGTCAGTCGGTAGTTGCTGCGTGTTTGTGTCTGCAGTGCTCAAACATTCATGCACATTCTCCTCATTGGAGGAGAAACGTGCGGTGTAGGTGTGTGTGGATAAAAAGGGAGGAGAAACCAATTTAGCGAGACTGAGGTTATAATCTCCAAAAAGCTCAGAGGAATAAAGGGATGTGATTAATGCTGCGGATTTAATGAGAAAGATGATGAAGCTCGTTCAATCACTGATGGGACGGATTAGTTGAATGTCATTAATTCTCCAGATTGTCTGCAGAGTTCGCAGGTGTGGGTTTTTATTTCCACCTGCGGGGTTTGCTGACGCTCCCCGCTTCCTTTGTTGTGCAGAATATTGTTGCGGTGGGCGCAGGCTTCTGCGACGGCCTGGGCTTCGGGGACAACACGAAGGCGGCGGTGATCAGGCTGGGCCTGATGGAAATGATTGCTTTCGCCAAGATTTTTTGCAAAGTCGGGCCGGTTTCCTCGGCGACCTTCCTGGAGAGCTGCGGCGTGGCTGACCTCATCACGACCTGCTACGGCGGCCGCAACCGCAGAGTCGCTGAAGCTTTCGTCAAGACGGGGAAAGTGAGAAACTTGTCTTAATTCTCTAAAAAAAAACTTTTAAGTAGAAAGACTTTCACGACTGTCTTATAAAAGGTATACTTTTCGTTGACATAGTCATGCTTCTTTATGTTATCAAACAAGGCTTTAAGAAGTCACTGTTTCAAAATAGAAGTACTAAAGATAACTTTGGCCAGAGTTTTCTGTGAATAGCTGGATCATACAGATCAATCTCAATAAATTATAAGATAATTTAATTCAGTAATTCACATTTACAGTACATCAGACATTTTTTATGCAGAGGGTTAACCATAACAGGTTCTTGCTAAAGACTCTGGCTGTCCAGAGTGGATCCAAGCATCTAATGGTGGAAAGTTAAGTGGAAGGAAAAAGTTTTATCATCCAGGAGTTTTGAGAGTTTCAAGGCAGCTGGGATCAGAGCCACAACACCCAGATTGACGTCGAGTTATTCCTGAATAAGGCCTGTCAGAAACCTCCTGCCTGGGCTAAAGAGAAATGATCTCTTTAGATGAAAGTAAACAGAAGATTTCATTTGGAAATCAAGGCTCCAGTATCTGGAGTTGTGGAGAGATTTCCACTATATGCTTACATTCATTGTACATGCATTTCTGTATTAAATGTTTTTGTTTTTTTTGTTCATTCTTCGTATGTGATATGCAAATTTTTCCTGCATCAAAGTCATGATCATCCAAATTAAGAGAAATCAATATTTGAAAAATTCACTGTATAATAGTTGTACAAAATATGTAACTACAATTTAATTACTAGATGAATTTTTGGGTGATATACACATTAATTTAGGTGACTAGTAACTGACAGGTCATTTCATGTTGACTGCTGGTTTCAGCTTTATGGGTCTTGTTGCTCTTCTTTTAAACAAACTTTTGCGTTTGCTGTCGCGTGTTTGGCTCAGTCCATCGAGGAACTGGAGAAGGAGTTGTTGAACGGGCAGAAGCTGCAGGGACCAGCAACAGCTGCTGAGGTTTATCTCATCCTCAAGCACAAAAACCTGATTGATAAGTAAGTTGAGAATGAAAGTGAAGAGTGATTGCAACTTGTTTCATTGTGTGTTTAAACTTCCATTAATACTTTGAAGATGTGATTCTATTTTTCTATATGATCGTACTTCATAAATTTATGATCAACTGAAGATTTTTCCTGGATTATATAATATTTTTACTCTTTGGGTGGAGGTTTTATATAAGAACTTTGGGATTTTTGCCTCTTCCTACACTGTTATATATATATATATATTTAAACTGCGTTAACGAGACACACATTGAAAGCTTTTGTCCTTGGACAGGTTCCCTCTGTTCAACGCCGTGTATCAGATCTGCTTCCAGGGCCACCCAGTGTCAGAGTTCATCAGCTGCCTGCAGAACCACCCAGAGCACATGTGATGAGGTGAAACCGACAGAATGCCTTCTCTACGGGAACGCCGCAGCCTCTTTTCTGTTCACGCTCGAGGAGAGAGTTGCGTTGCGGATTTTGCGCGTAGTGTCGACTCGGCATCGAAGCTGCGTAAGGTCTATTTCTGACATGTCGTTTAAGGATTTAATCCTGTTTCCAGGAACATGTTTTGTTACCAGATGGTGGTCAGACAAACATGTTTTTATGTTTCTATGCTTGATCTTAATCAGATTTTATGGTGTCCATTTTCAATTACAGCTAGATTGAACTCCGCTCTTTGGAGGACAACTAAATAAATGTGACCTTGATTATCAGTGTTCATGTGCTACTACATAATCCGCTCTTAATGTTTTTAATAGTTTTATCATTAAAAAAACACACCCGCTGGGTATCTACCTTGTTGATCCTGCCAGTAGCATATGCTTGTCTCAAAGATTAAGCCATGCAAGTCTAAGTACACACGGCCGGTACAGTGAAACTGCGAATGGCTCATTAAATCAGTTATGGTTCCCTTTTTAAGTTCTTGTTCCAGAAGTGGACTGGGATGTGAAGTAGTAGTTTATTAGGCTATGGAAGACTCTGACGGTCTGAGGTGAATCTCTATGAAAAGTGATGCTAATGCAGGAACCTGCATTAGCATCCGTCCAGTGAACCACCATGAGTTATTGGATTACATACTATTTCACTAACTCTGCTCTCATGTACTGTAAACGAAGGATGCTTTTAACCTGCAAAGCTAATGTGCCTTATACTGTTGGGTTGGCGTTGAAACAGGAAAATCCAAACTCTGTGGAGTTCCAAAATTTTAAAACTAGTAATTAGGGTAAATTACTCCTCAAGGCAGCCAATTTTCTGTTTGTCAGAAGCCAATTTTAAATGTTTTATTTCTTAAAGAGTAAGTACTTTTGGGAAACTAATGATTTTGTGTAAATTATTGGTCAATGGTGTTAGATCCCTAATAAAGGACTTGGGTTTCTTTTAAAAAGAGCTGTGTTGTATTGTCAGATAACATCCATACACTTTGCCATTTGTTATAGTGACCCAACCTAAATATGTTTGTACTTTCAGACAATATGTGAAAGAATATCTTCACCTGTCTAAATAAACCACTTCTGGTGTTGAAGCAAGTTTGGAGACATTTTTCTTAGTAATGTTAAATTGAAATGTTGCTGGAACTCATTGTCCAAGGTTTTTCAAAGAGTTTTAGAGGCTGATGGCTGTGGACAAGATTTTCTGTAGCAGTCTGTATTACAGTGAATCTGAAGAAGCCTCTGACTGAAAACACTGCTATAAAGCAATGTAGAGATGGTCAGGATTGTCCATAAGAAGAAATCCAGGACTCAGTATTTTTCTCCAGATGACAGAACTCCTGATTTGTGCTGGAGGTCTGAGGTATGCAAAGTGAAACTAAATAGTGAGACTACAGTTCCCTGTGGTACTCCTTTTTTTGGTAACCTTTTTCTTTTCAATGTATCAAATTATTTTGGCCTTTGAAACAAACAACAGAATATATATGCAAAGCTAGTTTATTAATAGAAATGGAAGCATTGCTACCTTTACAGAAAGAGAGCAGCAGCATTCAATATTACATTCAGCCGATTTGTAGCCAACAAACCTGCTGCCTGGATGTGTTACAATATAGAATCAATAAATGAAAAACAAAAAATGTAAACACAAAACGGAATGAAGCTTTGAGTTGGGCGAATGCAGGCCCAGCTTGTATCGCTTCTTCTGCACAAAACTTAAAGGCTTGTTCTAATTATGCATTTCTACATCTTTGGTCCCAAACAGGGAAAGCAAAGCAAAAATAATCCTATATATGTTACTACCAATGCAGAGCAAGTTCAACATCATTACAATCAGTAGTTAGAAATAAAGTATAAGACTAACAGCTGATGTCCACATGTCGTTCTGCCTCCAGCCTATGATCGCTTGTTCCTCTTACCAAGTCATGATGGGAAACTTAAATTCAGCTTCACTGCTTTTTTAAATTAGATCAAAGTTGGTCTCGACATAAAGTAAGACATGCGTCTTAAAAAGAAAAAAAAAAAAAAAAAACACATCATTAAGTATCGATGACCGCTTGGGCCCTTACAATTAATTCATTCCTGAGGACATTAAATGTTTTGAATTTGTTTTTTGCTCTTCTCCTGGATAGCTCACTTTTTCTGCTGCACCCCTCTACTCTACATCTCGTTACTATTCAAAGTTTGTTAGGGTTGACCCATTTGTAAGTGCCTCCATAACGAAATCCAACTTTCTTAACTAGGTCATCTGCTTCCGCAGGGCCACGACTGAGAAAGAAAAAAAAAAAAAAAACAATGTTATAAATTGAATTCATAGCAAGAAAAAAAAATTCCTCAGAGGGCAGAATTTGTATTCATTACCTTCCATATTTATAAGGAATTGGCTTTGGCTTTTCTTTGTCTATCTGATGGAGAAGAGGGGTGAAGATTCGCCATGCTTCTCTCAGTTCATCACTGCAGACAAGAAGAGTCACTATATTTTAAATTTGTGTCAACTTATTTGCAAATCAAATTTCTTAACTGATTGACAAACTGGTAATGCACGTTGCTGCCATCTAGTGAAGCTCAGACAGGATTACCAGATTTAACAGGCTTGTGAGGCGGGATAGAAACCGACCTGCGTACAAAGTGCATTTGGCTCCCACAGAACACGTCCAGGATGAGTCGCTCGTAAGCGTCTGGGAGTTTCACATCCTGAGAACAGGAAGACTTCATTAGTTTGTTTGAAACATCTGGTTTATGTTTAAAACAACTTTCTTCAAACATTTTCCCACCTTACTGTTTGACAAATCCGACCAAGAATCTTATTTTAGGCTGGATGGGATTACCAAAATTATTTCAATTAGCTAAAAGCCAGAGTCAGAATTGTAGGAGTTGTTTCTCATGTGATTTGTAAACTAGCAACTCTGAAACGTCGTCATTGTGTTTAATCTGCTTTATTGCTGATTGGCTCTGTGATTCAGGTTAATGTCTGTGTGGAAGAGCCATTTGTGACCAAACTTCCCTCTTGATGTCTTGAGATATTAGCTCATTAAAATGCCGTTTTATGAATTACATGCAACTTAATTCCCATCATATCTCCAAAACTATCTAGAGTACAGAGAACTGCAAAACAGGGACCAGGAAAAGGTCCACACTCTCCATACTTTACCCTTTGCTTGTAAAAATTTATATATTTTTAATAAGTAAACACACATTTCACACCAAACTCTGATGCTATCGATATGGATACTAATGCTTCTATATGATTATTTGTGTCCTGATCAATGTGGAAGCTGCACTCAAAAAGATACCAGACTTGTAGAGGTTCAGAAGTTATTTGGGTGATTTCTTCACATTTTTCTATGATGTCAAACCAGCAGTTTGTTTTCTTAAAACAAACCACATTCATGTCTCCAAGACTGATAACAAATCATTGACATAAGAGGCATTTTCAAATTGCTAAAAGACAGTAATCATCCATGTAAACTTCTGATGTGAAATAAAGTTACATTTGATGACATGCCACTGAATAGTTTAAAAGAAACAAATCAAGAGCAACCTGCCTTGTATCTCCTCTTGTAGGTGAGGTCCAGCTCCGTTTCCTCAGGGCTGAAGTAAACTCCGGGTTTCTTGCTCATCATCTTGGCATAAATTGCCTCGTTGGGTTGCACTCGCACCACCAGCTCGTTCCTCTGACACTTGTTGTCAAAAATGTCTCCTGGGACATCAGTGAACTGCAGCCGCACCTCGGCTTTTCTCTCGTTCAGAGCTTTCCCGCAGCGCAGGATGAACGGGACGCCTGCACAGGAACATTTTCAAGGTCTTACAGGAAGAAGATTCAAGAGCTGAACTTTTAAAGAGTTGGTTCTCTTTACCATCCCAGCGTTCATTGTGCACATAGAGCACAGCCGTGGCGAAGGTGGCCTGAGTCGATCCTTTCGGTACAGTGGGATCTTCAAGGTAACCCAGCTTCGCATCTCCTTCACCCTCAGGATTCCCCACATACTGACCCAAAACCACATCCGACATGGAAACTGGAGCAATGCACTTCAGCACCTTCACCTACAGCAGGAAAATCGGTTTTGAGTTCATCAGGAATTATGGCAAATGTGAAGCTTTTGTTTCTTTGCAGCGGAAAAATCCAGCACCTTTTCATCCCTGACATCATCAGAGCTGGTGGAGACTGGTTTCTCCATGGCAACCAAGCAGAGCATCTGGAGCAAGTGGTTCTGCATGACATCTCTGAAGGAACAAACACACTGTTACACAAGACACAACGCCTGACATCACAGGGAAACTATTCAGATAAATGAAGGAGCTACTAAGCACCATAAAGCAAATCTATTTTATGTTTCCTAATTTGTTTCAAATGGCTGCAATCCAATTAATTTTTATTTCAGGAGAATAATCTCACACCTTCAAAAATGCTAAAATTTTCTATTCAACCAGAACAAAAAATTCACATAAAAAAACAAAACAAAAACATTGTTCCTATTGACAAACAAATGGACCAACAAACCAAAGTTTTTATTTATGCTTTGCATTTTTATCAAACCAGTGTTTTTTAAAGTCTGTATTTGTAAGGTATTGCTCATCACAATGTGGCTAAAACTATACACTGAGCAATAATGAAAAATGTTCATAACGGACTTCTTCTAAAGGCTTTTTTTATGCTCTGGATGAATTTAATAAATAGTCAATGGACAAGAAATGGAGAATAGAAGGAAGAGAAAGATATGCAGCAAATGTCCTGAGCCTGGGATCGGTCAACTTAGACAGCCAGCGCTGAAAAACTTGGTCATTTTTAGCGTCTGTCTGTATCATAATTATCCTAAAAGTATGAATAAATCAACATAAACATGGTGAAACAGGAATTTAAAAAAAACAAAAAAAGCCGTATTTAATAAAAAGGAACTGATATTCAACTGGAAATGGTGTTTACACATTTTTAACAGCAGGGGGCGATCATGTTAGTGTTTTTCTTGAGGTAAAATCAAAATGTTTGATTTTTTTTTGAGTTGCTATATTGGCATAAATATAATGTTCTGTATCATTAATACTCCATGGTTTTTATTTATATTCATTATAAACCAAAATTATTCTAAAATAGTTCTACCAGTAGTGAAATATTTGTACATTTCAGTTTTTTCTCCTCACTCACCGAATGATGCCAAAATCGTCAAAGTATCCTCCTCGCCCCTGAGTGCCGAATGGTTCTTTAAAGGTGAGAATGACGCAGGCAACACAGTCTCTGTTCCAGATCGGCCCAAAGATTCGGTTCCCAAACCTGCACAGAATGTCACATTATTATTCCGAGCTCAGAACAAAGCAAACCAGACAGCTGCTCATGACAACACAAACAATTTATATTCAGCTTTGTCCCTGTTTAATTTAGATGAATCGCAGGAGCTTTTAGAAAATAGAGAGCAACTTCATTTAATCCTGCTTTAATCAGACAGTCGTTTCAGTGTGAAATTAAAAACAGCTCTGAGAGTGCATTGGGTTTATTAAAATGCTGCAGATCAGTCAGACGCTGCTACAACTAAAGCAAACTAATAAAAACAGCAGTGTTTTTTTTTTAGTATTTTAATCTTTATAAAGTATCATATAGCAAAAAAGAAAATTGAAGCAGACGGGAGGATGGTTTTCATACCTGAGCACCATGAGGTTCTGCACCATTTCTTTGCCCAGATAGTGATCGATACGGTAGATCTGATCCTCACTGAAGAGGGAGGAGAGGTGTGTGGACAGCTCCTCTGAGCTCTGGAGGTCGTGTCCAAAAGGTTTCTCAACAATCACTCTGTTCCAGCCCCTAACCAACACAAACCGGAAGACATTCAACAGTCAGAAAACTCATGAATGTGTTTGCTTGTCCCAACAGTTGCATTTTAAAAAGTTCCAACAATTCCACATTTGTCCTTCAAAAAGTCACATTTCCAAATCCCTCCCTTGATTTATCGATTCGTGTTCGTAGTCAGCGGGAAGCTGCAGCCACAAAAGACGACAAAATGCCACGAGGAAAGCTACGCTTAGCAGAGATTAAAACCAGAGGCCTTCTTGGCATCACCTGACAATCCTAACCACAAAACTAAGCTACTCTGAAGACATTCAGTAA